AGATGTATAATCAAAAAAGGGAAACCATCGTTCCAAAAAATTATTTGACAGTTTAGAATTTTGGGCTACTAGTACCTGTGTTGCTATTTTGTCTGCTACTGCTAAGTTCCAGCATTTCAATATAGATACTTTCATTTCACTGCTGTTTAGACAGGTATTTGATCATCAGTTTTCCAAATAAAGGAACATTTCCCCCCTTCTAACAATAAGTGGTACTTTTTGATAAATTGCCTCTCATACTTTCATTTAGTATCTTAAAGGGGCATTTGTATTTAGGCTTTGGTATAATGTAGTGCTTACACACTTATATTTAATTGATTAATTGGTTCATAATTAGACAGATTCCTGAATTAAAATGCCAGTTTCCATGGTGGGATTCAGAACTCCAGTTCCCCCTGAGGTTTAGTTCAAACAGTTGGCTGGGGGTAAGACTGCAGGCTGGAAGGTTGGTAGTTCAGCAGTTCGAGACCCGGGTGCCGCATGACAGAGTAAGCTCCTGTCTCTGGTTCCAGCTCCTGCCAACCTAGCAGTTCGAAAGCAAGAAATTGCAAGTAGATAAATAGGTACCACTTCGGTGGGAAGGTAACAGCGTTCCGTGCACCTTGGCGTTTAGTCATGCCGGCCACATGACCATGGAAACGTCTTTGGACTGTGCTGGCTCTTCGGCTTGGAAACGGAGATGAGCACCGCAACCCTGGAGTCGGATTCGACTGGCTTTCGAGCAAGGGAAACCTTTACCTAAGACTGACATAATCAGCTGATCAAGAAAATGTAGTTTGACTTTTCCTTTGTCATCTTAGTCTCTTCGTGGTATTGTAAATTCAGGTAGCATTCTAAAATAAGCCTCAAGGCATATTGGAATCATTTTGCCTTGTTCCATATTTAATACCAGAAAGAATAACCTGATCACCAGCAAGCTGATCCTGTACATGTTTACTTGAAGGCAAGTGTCACTGAGTTAAACAGGACCTCCTTTCAAGAAAGTGTGCATGGTTTGCAGGCTTGGTAATTTTTATGAACTTTCAGGAATGCTTCAACCACTGTAGATGTAACAGTTTCTATTGTATATGCCTAGGGGAGTTGGACTTTATTTATGGGTATATGGGTGTAATATTACTTTTGGATTAATATGAGTGAAGCACTGGTTTTTGTTAATTAACTTACACTGTAAGAAGTGCCATCTGAGTTTGTGCTGTACTATAACAAATCTTGTGTAGGGTCTTCCCCTAGTGGCAAGATGAGAGAAAACACAGAGGAGTCAAGGCTCATGACCAGGAAAGTATTACCATCTGAAGTATACACACAAGGGGTATTTCCCACAGCTTCCCAGCTTGAACTACGCTTTTAAGGTTTACATCACAATCCAAAAAACATTTGCTTGGAATTCATTCAGTCTATTTCTACAAGGCTTGCCTACAAATACAATCAGGATATTAAATATTTTACTTCCTTTCAGTTGGAAAGTTCTGACACAAGCCACATCTTATCCCAGTCAAAATCTATCTTTATTCTATAAGAGATTTTAGGGAAACAAATGGGGGCCCCACAAGGACTTGTTGAGGACATTTCATTTTTCTCTCCCCCACTGTTTTTACTTAATCTTTTTTAAAAGCTTCCACAGTCTCTCCTCTTATTCTGCTTCCTTCTGTACTTCCCACCCACTGGCCAGCCTACCTTTTATCTGCCTCCTTGTTTGCAGCTTTTGCTCCTTCCCTCTCTCGCTGGCAGCCTCTGTGTGGGAAACTGTGGCCCAGGTGTGCAGTGGCTGCTAACGCAGGGCTGGGATCAGTTGCACAGTGGGAACTCACAAGGACTTGTGGGGGGCCCCTCACTTTCCCCTGTATCACCCTTTCCACATAATTTCCTCTTTCCTTCCTCCTGGCAGTCTCCATATCCTCACCTATCCCCTGCTTCCTTCTCTCCTCCTCACCTTCCTTCTCCTTCTCACCTACCTTTTATCTCCCTCCATCACCAGCAATATTAATTATTTGTTTGCTTCATCTATAACCAGCCTTTCTTTACAATTGGGTTATATCAGCTGATACCACATTGAGAATTAGATATATTGATGAACCTATATTTCTGGCCATATTCATGACAGGTTTGTTGGATATAGGTGAGTCTCAGACCATTGTGATGGGGAGGCTCACTTGTTCCTACACACAGAGAGGCACATAGCGTCAGATCTGAGCTCATGGTCGATAAGAAGGAAGACCATCAAGATGGTATGGAAAAATACATGACCAGGGCTCAAACAAGAAACCTGGGTTCTGCCTACTTCCTAAATAGTTTTCATAGAGAATAAATCACGCAGGTTGAGAGGATGCATGTATTACCTATTTTATATTCCATTGCTCACATGTTGGTCAGTTGTTGCTCAGCTGAATGCATAGTCTTTTCGTAACTGATAACTTCTTATACTAGTAAAGTTATTTTTCTTTTTGTTTTGAAATTGGTGTTGTTGATTAGTCTCTGCACCTTCTTATAAAAGCCTAATTTATCAAGATGCCTGGGTTTGAATGACTCTGAAAAGTTAGATTTCCATACATACAGATTTTTACAAAATTTGATTTTCCATACATACATGATGGTTTGAAGTAGGAGGATGATTCTTATTTGGAGAAGAGTCCCTTATGAGACAGAAATAAAGGGTCTTTGTTGCATTTTAGTAGGCAGGTATACCTCTTAATTCTCAACATGGTAGTGACAGTGAAAAGGAATTCTATGTGTGCATGGTATATGTGTGCAGAATACAGCTGGAGAGGTGAACTTGTCATTTGCTGGAGACCTGGGCCTGCTGTGTAAATTCCACATCCCCTGTGGTAGAATGAAGTACCGGGGAGCTGTTTTACCACAGCTCCATGTTTCTGATACAGTGATATGGGAACCTCAGACAGCAGGGCTCTTTTTGTAGAAAAAGCCCAGCAGGAACTCATTAGCATAATAGACCACACCCAACAGCAGGAACTCATTAGCATATTAGGCCACACCCCTGACAACACCACTCATTAGCATACTAGGCCGCACCCCATGTTACCAGAAGTGTGGTCATCCAGCCACTCCCACCTTTTGCTTCTTATTCTGTTTACCTTGTTTGTTGTCAAAACCCAGGGCTTTTTTTTGTAGCAGGAACTCCTTTGCATGTTAGGCCACACACCCCTAAGTTAGCCAATCCTAATGAGTTTCTGCTGTTGGGCATGGCCTATTATGCTAATAAGTTCCTGCTGGGCGTGGCCAACTCGGGAGCCAGCCGGAACTCCGTTCCTGTGCGTTCCTGCCCCAAAATAGCCCTGCTCAGACCCATCTGCCATATCTTTCCAAGGGAATTTCTGTTGCCTATTTGGACAAGTTGACTTAGGGAACAATTCTAAGCATGTGGATTCAGAAGTTGTGTAGAGTGAACCATGTGTCTGTACATGGTTACAGCTGCATGTAGGTCAGGAGTGAAACTTGCTGCTCTGATTCCAGGGACGGATTCGAGTCCAGTAGCACCTTAGAGACCGACAAGATTTCCCGGGTATAAGCTTTCGAGAGTTAAAAGCCCATACCTGAAATTCTTGTTGGTCTCTAAGGTGCTACTGAAATTGAATCTAGCTCTTCTGCTGCCGGCCAGCATGGCTACCCTCCTGAAAATGATTCTAGGGACGTTCATTCTGTCCAGTTGTCAGATATAAGTTAGGGAGAATGGTGAGCATCAGATGCTGACAAGTTTTAAGAATGGGTCTCAGTGCTTTTTTTGGGTGGTGGTGGTGGTTTTCTTCTTATGATACAGAACTTGTGATTTATCAGGGATATTCTGCTTGTCAGCTGACTTCTGAAACTGGTGTCATCCTCAGTTGCCTAAAGGCTGTCCAGATGTTGATAAAATAGATGTGTAAAGGAAGAAACCCTCCCATTTTAGCATTTGTCATTATTATATTTTGTAGGTCCACCATCAGTTCTTCCGTTTTCTGAACTTTTGGGGTTTAATTTTCATATTGTCAATTTTTTTACCTATGTCTGAAAGAATTAAAAACATACTTTTTGAAAAAAAAAGAGAGAAGTCAAGCACATCACTTATAAATGCTCCATCATTTCCACAGTGAAATATGTAACTGGCAATGCTATGGCTGCAGAAGTCTAACTATTAAAAGGACAAGTTTATGAAGAGCCGATTCCATCACCTTCAAGAGATTTCATTTATGGACTTGAGTAAATGCATAGGTGCTGAAAGAACAAATATGTTAAAGTCTAATATATTTATTTTAACATGAGATTTTGTAAACTGGAACCCACTTCATCAAATGAATGAAATGGATATTCAGTGGGCAAACATATATGTATATATGTGGTAGACAAAAATCTGTGGAGTCAAAAGACCATAAAATGCAAGAATTACCAAATGTTACATTATTGTTGAAAATTCAAGACACTGTCTCTCTGTCTCTTTTTGCTGCAAGTTACAACAAACTTAACACAGCTGTCTCTTTGGAACTGATTGATAGGCCAAATATCCGGGAAGTCATAATTTTTTAATTTGTGGATTTTAGTGAGTGGTGTGTGCAGATGTCTATGAACCAGAGATTTTGTATCAGGTTGCTTGGAGCGTATTTGGTTTTAAAAGCTGAACAGGAAACTGTATGACCACAAAAAGGGAAATGCATTCATTTTAACCCTGAGAGACCTTGAGTTCATATACATACTGTTTGCAGCAGGAACAATGACCTTCTTGCTCAAAAGTGGTCAGAAAAGACTTCCTAAAGTGTGCTGTGCTGTTGTGGGGTTTTCAAGAGCTTAAACAAAATCAATAGGGAAGGTACGATATGGGAACAGAAGCTGCAGTGTTCTGCCATAATTGATCAGTGGAATATGCTGGGATAGTTTTAAATAGCATCACAGTGTTAGAATTTATCTTTATTTAACACTGAACATGTATTGCTATTGAACATTGAGTAAATTTTTCATTTCAGCTTTGACTGGATTTTTTTAAAAAAAATTATTCCTCTTTTCTTAACATATAGGATACTGGCGTGGGCAAGTCAAGTATAGTTTGCCGATTTGTTCAGGATCATTTTGACCACAATATTAGTCCTACTATTGGGTAAGTATTGTGTACATTTTAAAAATGTATATAAAATGAAATAAACATTATTATAATTCCTTTGTACTTAAGGTTTCTGGGAGAATGTTCTAAACACAATAGTGCTTGTGTTCACAGTTTTATAATGTTATTGAGTAAGTCTATTAACTTCATTTTTAGATAATGCCAATCTAAAACCACTTTTCTTTCTGTGTTTCTCATTATCAGTCATAAGCAACACATAATTTCCTTCTCTTTTTGAGGTGCATACTTTAAAGAATGTTTAATTTAAAAAAATAGACTTGAAGGTACATACTACATCCATTTGCACCGGATAAGATTTCAGTAACAACAGATTAGGTGTCTACCTCCCCAATGTCTGTAATCTTATGAATCCTGCACTGAATAGCTGTACATTTCTTAGTATTGTTTCATCAGTTAGTAGCACACTAGCCGTGTGTACTGTTGTAGATATAACTGCCCCACAAAAGAAAGAAAAAGAAAGCAAGAAAGAAATGTGAAAGTTTTGGATTGGAAGCAATAGAACAAAGTTAGAGTCCAGTGGCACCTTTAAGACCAACAAAGTTTTATTCAACATGTGAGCATTCATGTGCACGCACACTTTGCCAGACAATAACATGGAATTACAGAACATAGGTGTATATATTGGGATGGCTTGTTAAATTAGCATGCAAAATAGTAAAGATGTTTATTAACAGATCAAAAGAAGGACAAGCTCAGTTTCTAGTTATCATCTGTTTGGGTTCAACTGGGGAGGGAACAACATAGGTAATAAATATGTCAGAACTGAAGATTGATGTGCCTAAATTGTGAGAATCCAGTCCGTAGACTCCATCCATCTCCTTTCTAGCATGAAGGCGAACTTTACAGCATCTTGGCTGTGTAGAGTATTTTCCTTGTCCCCAAAACAGAGAATTACATTTAAATCTACCATTCCAAATTATATTGTTAATTGTTAAGAGTAGTAAACTGAGATTTTTTTAAAAAAATAACATTTTGTTTCACTAAAACATGGAGTTAACTGACAGAATCCTTTTCCTGGGGTGCCGTGTTATATCAGAGATTGACAAGATATTGCATTGCATTATAATCACTATTATAATATACTATTTTTAAAAACTTTAAAATATAGGGGAGCAAGTCTCTGAAATTCCTTTCACAAAACTCTCTAGAGATAGATTCGTAATAGCATCACAGTTCTTTCTTGCTAGAGTAACTAGCTCTTATCATTGTACACTTATTTATTAATTGAAATGTTTATATTCCACCTTTCCTCATGGCTCAGGACAGTTTACAAATTACAATTCAAAACATACAAAATAAACCCCCACTAACCCACATCCCCAAAAAGATGCCTGTAGTCTCTGCCCTGTTAAAAAGCCCTGGCAAATAAAAAGCCCTTGCAGTGCCACCTGAAAATTTCTAAAAATGGGGTCTCCCTTTCAGTGTTGGTGGTGTTAAAAGGCATGATGTTTCAGAGTGGTTTATCAAAGGTTCATTCTGTCATGAGTCAGCCAGGGCTCAGCGATAGTGAGGACTCAGGAGAAGAGGAGCCCCGTGTAACCAGCCTTGAGTTAACAGAAGCTGACCAGCAGAAAAATGAGCTGTAGGCTTGTCAGGATTCACAGCCAACAGCTGGTGCAGAGCCACAGACACCTTCCAGCCTTGATTCAGCAGGTGAACCTCAGCTGGCCATTCCCAGCCCACTAGGAGGCTGAGAACAGAGCTACAGACAAGACGGCAAATTGCACACCTCCTGGCCTGACGCCAGCTGTTTGCTGATAACAAAGATGAGTAGTTGCAGGATTGCTTCTGAGTAACTGGTTGCAAGTATGATCCTCAGGCGTGGGGCTATAAAAGCAGCCAAGAGAGGCTATTAGGTGTTACAATACATACTAAGCTACCAACTCTGTCTTGCCTGACTTCTGGACCTTGACCTTAGACTGAATGATGCTGCTTTGCCTGTCTTCTGGACCCCTGACCTTGGACTGACTCTGCTTTGCCTGACTTCTGGCACCTGATACTCAGAGCCTGCAAAGCAGTACATATTCTCAGATGGTAGCAGGTCCTTTGTATGGGCATGCTCAGCACATTTACTCCAGGATTATTGATATTTTAAATATCAGTTAGAGCATGAGTAAGAGATTGCAGACTGGCTAACTTTTTATCTTGTTCCTGGAAGGATAAAGCTCCAAAAGAGGCAATTAGATTATCTTCAGAAGTATCATGCTTAAAAGGATCTCTCAAGGATTTTTGCTGATTCTGTACTACATGATTTTGCTGATTCTGTACTACATGATTAGGAAAGAGGACTATTTTGCTGATTCTGTACTACATGATTAGCCAATTTCCTCCTCCCTTCTATAGAGGGAAAAGTAAGATCTATCAATAATTCATTATCAACTAAAGATTAAGTTGGCAGATTGGCAGCTCTCTTTGAAAACATGCAACCTACACTGTTAGACTTACTCTTCTGAGCCAAGCCCTTAACAAGGGGAATTATTTCCTTTTGAAGATATGGCTGGACTGGGAAAGCTGCTGCAGATAGAGGGATCCCTCATCCAATGTAGGTGTCAGTTTGAGGCCAAATACCTAGAGAAGGCTAGGCATCACAGGAGTACAACCTTTTTTAGATGATGTCATCACTGTGGCACCAGACTCCGTCAGCTTTGCAGACCGACTCCGGGCAGTGCTCCAGAGGTTCGACTCCGCCGGCCTCAAGGTGAAGAAAGAAAAGTGTCTCCTCGGGGTGCCGTGCATCGAGTTCCTGGGGTTTGCGGTGGACGCCTAGGGTATCCACCCAACGGAAGATAAAGTTCGGGTGAATACAGGGCCCCCGACTCCCACTTTCAAATCTGAACTGCAGGCTTTCTTAGGCCTGCTCAATTTTCATCATGCTTTTCTCCCCTTGAAAGCTGCTGTGGCGGAGCCCCTGCACTGCCTCCTGGACAAAGAAGTGCCCTGGGTCTGGATGCCCGCTCACGCCATAGCGTTCCAGAGGGTCAAGGACTTGCTCATTTCTAACTCCGTCCTGCACCATTTCAACGAGGCGCTGCCGGTGGTCCTCGCCTGGAACGGTTCTCCTTACAGGGCTGGGACGGTCCTGGGTCACTGGTTGCCAGCCGGCTGGGAGGTCCCAGTTGCCTACTATTCTAGGACCTTGTCTTCTGCGCAGATAGACAAGGAGGCGCTAGCGATAGTGGCTGGTATAAAAAAATTCCACCACTATCTCTACGGCCGGGCCTTCATGGTGGTGATGGACATTAAGCCTCTTCTGGGTCTCCTGGCTCCCAACAGTCAGACGCCGCAGATGGTCTCCCCCAGGGTTCTGCGGTGGTCCATTTCCATGGCGGGTTACAGTTACAACCTTGTGCATCGCCCCGGGAAAGCCATCGGGCACGGCAATGCCCTCAGCCATCTGCCGCTGCCCGTCATGGACCCTGACCCCACTTCCGCGCACACGATCGCTCTCGTGGAGTCACTCCCCAATCGCCCAGTTCATGTGCGAGAGGTCACTTGCCTCACAGGCCGAGACAAGGTTCTCTGTCGGGTCCTGGACTGGGTGGGGAGGGATTGGCCTATGGCCAAGCAGGGCCCCGAGTACACGCTGTTCGTCACCCAGAAAGACGAACTATCCACATACAAAGGGTGCCTGATATGGGGTGGCTGGGTGGTGATACCTGTCCCACTACAGCAGCGAGTCATAGTGGCTCTACATGAGCACCACCCCGGGGTCATGAGGATGAAGGCGATAGCAAGGAGCTACGTCTGGTGGCCTGGCCTCGATCGGGACATCGAGGACATGGTCAAACGATGTCAGCCTTGCCAGGTCTCTTGCCCCAAACCACCCAGGGCTCCGGAGAGAGCCTGGGAGTCCTCACACCGCCCCTGGTCTCAGCTCCACCTAGATTTCGCGGAACCGTTCGAGGGGCAGCTGTTTTTTATCCTTGTTGACTCTTACAGCAAGTGGCTAGAGGTTGTTCCGCCATCAAGGCCATGTGGCAGATCTTCAGTGCTCAGGGTATTCCGGACACCCTGGTAACGGACAATGGCACTGCATTCAAGTCCAAGGAATTCCAGGACTTTACATCCTGTGATGGAATTCGCCATGTGCGGTCGGCTCCGTCCCCCCCCGCCACAAACGGCCAAGTGGAGTGGATGGTCCGAACCACCAAGGACACACTCTGACAGCTCGCCTGGAACGGTTCTCCTTACAGCTCACCTGGAACGGTTCTCCTTACTCTACCGACTGGGTCTACAAGTAGCCTCTTTCCTCTTCGGCCAACGAACCACCCCACACAAAACAATGGGGCTCAGTCCAGCCGAATTGCTCCTGGGTCATCGCCTCACAACACGTCTAGATCAACTACACCTGGACTGGGCCCCCAAACGCGAGCCGGACACGGAGGACCAGGAAGCCACCCGAGGGTTTTTTCCTGAGGACCCAGTGTACCTGTGGAACTACGCCAAGGTCCCACCATGGTTTCCGGCTCGAGTGGTACGAATCAAGGGACCCCATTCCTACGAGGTCTCCTGTGAGGATGGTATGGTGCGCCATAGGCACATCGACCAAATGCGCCAGCAAGTGCTGCCTCTGGAACCAGAAGACACCGAGGAGGCTGACCCTGGCAAGACTACCGAGCTACCCCCAACTCCAGTGATAGCTGGCCAACCGTAGGCCGTGACCCCGGTACTCCGTAACCAGCCCGCAGCTGTCCTGGCCGCCTCGGATGAGCCTCCGGGAACGACACCAGCTTCCCCGGCGTCGGCCAGCTCTCCACCGAGAGCATTAGCGCTGGTGTCCCCCACAGCCCCAGCAACACGCCGCTCCACGAGGGAGTGGAAGGCTCCAGCATATCTAAAGGACTATGTATGCGGGTGTCTTTCGGACCAAGGGGAGAGGGGTGTTGTGTCCTGACCCAGCCATGTGTGCGATCCAGTTTCGGCTGGTTCCGCATGCGGTCAGGTGAAGTACCTGAGCTTCGCTCCCGAACACAATAGACGTTCGGATCCTAGTTCCCTGCTAATCGGGAACCTAGGGTCCCTAGGAATAATCTAATTACTGTAGATAGACCATTCACAGGTGTTGGGTGTGTGTGGGTGTGTTTTCCTTGGGGCATATAAGCTGGCCTGTGAGTCCGCTACTTTGTCTTGTTCTTTCCAAATAAAAAGTCTTAGAGCGGAAATCACGAGTATGTCTAAGGACTGTTCAATAATGTTCTTGATTCAACATTGCTGATAGGTGTTTAATTTTTCTTTCAATAAAATATAGTTATATTGTTTTTTTAAAAAAGTAATTAATTTTACCATCCAACACACCTGCTCTGCTTGATAGTATTCTAAATATCCAAAGACTTAAAAGCCCCATGCGCCATTCTAAAGAGCAGTACCTGAAACAGATTGAAAAATATGTTACTTTTATATTTTTGGATACAGTCCAGAGCTCATTCATTTTAATTATTTGAAAGGAGGTAAAAACCAATAGGGAATAAAGACTGTTTTAATAAGCTGTGCCAAGCTAAACCCAAGCTGAACAGTGCTTCAGGAGACATTGCTCAGCAGTTAGATCAGGCATGAAAGCAACATTCTCGTTTCCTTTAGTTCAGGAAGGGACTAGTGTTCCAAACTTGACCAACCTGAAAACTGCTGAATGCAAAACCCAAGGTTCGTCTTTAGGAGACTGGAATAAACATATTATCCCTGGTAAGTTTTTTGCAGGATCTAGAGTGAAATAATTCCACACAAGCTGGTGTGTTGCTTAGTAACAAGAATATAAGAAAAGCTTTGCTGGATCAGACCAATGGTTCATCTAGTCCAGCATCATGTTTCTCACAGCTGCTGACTGACCTGGTGTCTCTAAAGTCTCACAGGAGGTTCATAGACGACAAAGCTTTTTCTGTTACTGTCCCCTACTACTGACAATTGCTGCAGAGAAAAAAAATGCTGAAATCTCAGTTTTAAAGATCCATACTCACTTTCATTCCTAGAGTTCCATGCAAGTCAACACAAGATGTTTTTAAAGTGACATCCTATTAACGAACCTAGGCGATCAAAACTTTAAAAAAAATGTTGGAGGGTTCTATTACAATCATATTTTTAATCGGTTTTAACAACTAGCCAGTTCACTAACTGCTCCCCCCCCCCATTGATGAAGTAAACTGTGGGACCAAAACTGTATTACGGCACCATGTGATGTTAGATTTTATGATATTATTTTTAGATTGCTGAAATGTGTTTTGTATGTATGGGTTGTGCATTGCCCTGAGCCTGCTTGCGAGGAGAGTAGTGTAAAAGCCTAATGAAAAAAATAAATAAAATTGGAAGGGCATGTATCTTTAGTTGTAAAATGCGTATGGAAAGAAATATTTCTTCTGTAAGAAAATATAAATGTATACAGGCTGGGGACACGGGGGAAGGAAATCATATTTCCCCACACTGGCCTCCATTCTCTTCTCAGCCTTCACTTTCTTCTCCGCATCCTGCTTTTCTCCCTCCCTCTCCCCAGCCTTTTCTCCCTCTTCACCACCTTCTCTTGCTCTCCCAGTCACTGCTGCTGCCTTCTTCCAAACTTCAGTGCCTTGGTTGCTAGGCAGCCCTGTAGTGCTTACTTGGGGCTTGCAAGATTTCACAAGGTCTGTCATCATTCCCCATTTTGGGGGGCAATTTAATCCCCCTCACTATCTTTTTAACTCTGACTTTTTCGGCAAACCTGAGGACTCTACTGGGTCTGTAGAAAAATCCCTTCCATCTGTTTATGGCCCCATTGTACAGATTTTTTTGATCTGCATTCTAGGACGATGTTCCGAATTAGATCGATATGGCAAATAAAGTTACTGAGCACTCTTAGAGAGAGAAAAGAGAGAAAAGCTCAAATAATTGCTCAATTAGTCTGAATGATAAATGTGGGACTTAAATCAGATAACTGGATAAATGTGCTTTAGCTGTGGTCTGTTCGTATTCTAGAGTTCAAATAATGTGCTGCTATTTCTTGCACCTTTTAGTGCTTCTTTCATGACTAAAACTGTGCCTTGTGGGAATGAGCTTCATAAGTTTCTGATCTGGGATACTGCAGGACAAGAACGGGTGAGTCTGATTTTGGTATCTTTCTTTGAGGCCTTTGCATGCAGTGTGCTGTGTGCACTGATTCTTTCTACCCTCTTGATGGCAGAGGTTGTCATAATTCCCTGTAATAGCGGACAATAGTCAAGTGCTTGTTTGTCGAGTAGCAAAACAGGGTCATTCACAGTCAAGCTAGACATTTCAGAATGCTAAGAGGATCCCAGATATGCAGAAAAATATTACATAGTAAACTGAAACAAAAAACTCACCTCCAAATGAACTGATGAGGATTGATGAGAATTGAGCATGTTTTAGGAGGCATTGAATGCTTATGGCAGCTGAAGAAGAAGAAGAGGAGATTGGATTTATACCCCACCCTTCACTACCCAAAGGAGTCTCAGAGTGGTTTACAATCCCTTTCCCTTCCCCTCCCCACAACAGACACTTTGTGAGGTAGGTAGGGCTGAGAGAGCTCTCTCGAGAACTACCCTTGAGAGAACAGCTCTGAAAGAACTTATGACTGACCCAAGGTCACACCAGCAGCTGCATGTGGAGGAGTGGGGAATCAAACCCGGTTCTCCCAAATTAGAGTCCGCGCTCTTAACAACTACACCAAACTGGCTCTCATTTAAAGGAGACGAGGAGATAGGGAGAAAGAAGACAAAAAAGGAATGGGTAGATTAGCTTGCTCCATCCGTCAAGGGTGTCAAATATAAGGCCTGGCGACAGAAACCGGCCCACAAACAATTGGTACGATGAAGGGAACAGGAGGCTGCTCGGAGGGGGAGTGGGTGGAGCCACTCCGATTATGTCTTCAACACAGTGGAATAACCTCATCTGCAGCAGTCAAGCAGAACCCCTTCGCTTCAGTGGCAGCCTGACTGCTAAATTGGGAGCTGCCACAGCCGCGTTCATGCTGGCTCATGGTTCCAAGGTAAGGTCGTACACCTCTTCGCTCAGCCTACAGCTCCGGGGATGCAGTCCCAGGTGGCTGCAGTGATTGGCATTTGCACATGGGGGAGGCACAGAGGATCCTCTGCTGGGGCCTGCTGACAGCCAGCACTGCCGCCATATTCGTGCTTTCCCATGCCACAGCTATGCTTTGGCCCATGGGAGGCATTCTTTGGCAGTTTCTTTCACACTTTGGGGGCCTAGTTCTGCCACCAAGCATGCAACTGGGCCACCAGGGCCTCCCTCCCCCATGGGACACCAGGCAGCCTTTAGCCATTGGTGGCTACTTCCTCGTGGGGGGCGGTGCCAGTGATCTCTGGCTGTCTTGGTCACTGGATGGTCATGCGTGACCTTGTGCGTGCAGTGCCTGGGGTGGCTGCCACTGCATGGGGTGACATGGCTTTTGATGATCTCTGGATTGAACCCAACCATGGATATCCTGGTGGTCTTGGCCAGAGACGGTTGCTGCTGCACAGATCTCTCCAGCTTATTGGGCTTTACTTAGCCTGGGTCCTGCATGCACATGGCCTTGCACCTGGGCCACCACCACCCTGCTTCCACAGGCGAGGGGTTAGTTCAACTTGTCTTCCCAGTCCCCTTCCATGGTGGCTGGGGCAGGGAGGAGCTTGTAAGACCCAGACACTTTGCGCTTTTATCCTGGGGCCTGGGCTTACAGCATTGGCAGCAGGAGTGGGCTGGGGAAGGGGTTTGCCCCCCATCCAGGCAGCACGAGGGCATCTACCCAGCACTGCACCGCTGGCTCTCCAGTCTGCCCATGCAGGTTTTCCTTTGCAACCTTCCCCCTCCCCCACAGCCCATGGGGCCTTAGAGTGAGGACACACCAACGTGGAGCTTACTAGCTGTTGTCCTTTATAAAGTTTGTATCTCTGGTGCCTGACATTACATTTTATGACACACTGGCCTGGCCCGACAAAGTGACATTTATGTCAGATCCAGCCCTCATAACAAATGAGTTTATCACCTGAGAGCTTATAGTATCCTGGAGGTGGATGGAAATTAGGCACACATTTTTTGCAAGTCCAGCATGAACACAGGAAGCTGCCTTGTACATCAGACCTTGGTCCATCTAACACTGGCTGGTGGTGAGTCCACAGAGATCCAGGCAGTCTTGCACAAATGTGTGCTATGAGAGCCAGTGTGGTCCAGTGGTTAGACGTTAAACGAAGAATGGGGAGACCTGGGTTCAAATCCCCTCTTTGCCATGTAGTTCACTGAGTGACTTTGGGAGGGCCATTCTGTCTCAGCCTAACCTAGCCTGCACTCAGAGATGTTGTGAGGATAAAAAGGAAGAGAGGGCTAACCGTATACTTCATTCTGAATTCCTTGGTGATAGGATAGGATAAAAATATATCACAATAAAATACCTGTGAAGAACCTAAGGACTGCAGTTTGGACCTGTATATGCAGAGCAGGTATTCTACCACGGAGCCACAGCTCTGCCTTAAAAGCCAAACTTTCATGAATAGAATTTGAACCCTTTTCAGAGACTAGAATGTTCTGAGTAAACATGCATGGTAAGCTGTGTGTTCAGTGTAATCACATTTGCTCACGATCCTTCTTGCTTTCCTGTCTTTCCATTTCTGTCTCCGTTATACCATTTCTTTGTTGTTTCTTCCAAGTAAATATAAAAATTGTAAACTTCTCAAGGAAATGACAAATCCTTTTTGGTGCATGTTAAAGTATAACATATGACTGTTAATGATATTACATGAATGTATGAGTGAATATATTCTATTGGCCCTGGAGCTGTACCTAGAGTAAGCTGGACAAGGCAGGGCTGTCCTGATCGCTGGCACACAGCGAGCACACAGAGGTAGTTTCTAGACATCAGAGCTGGTCTGAGTACAGTTCCAAGATTCAGATACTGGCTAGACAACACTCACAGTATTGAGTCCAAATGGGAATCCAATATCTAGGGTTCTAGACACAGGCCAAGATCAGAGATGAGGCAATCAATCCAGAATACAAACAACAAAGTCAGTAGCTAACAGTCAAGTTATTTCCACACATCTATTCCCTTTTTTGGTGCTTTTAAGCCCCACGCTGCTTAAACCACCTGTGTTGCATCATACACCTGCTGGCTGCCTCAGTCCTGCTCCTGCAAGCATTCATCCTTGCTGTTGGTGCTGGGCCGATGCTGTGCTACTAGCCGGCTACTGCGCCTTCTGATTTGAAAGACTCTCATTTTCCTCCGACGATGTTCGCGAGGATCTGGTGATGGAGGGGGTGAATTGGCTGGCAACTGGGTCTCTGTTGCCAGCCCAGGGCTGGGAAGCTGAGAGGGGCCAGTGTGCTAGGTCCTGCCTGAGGATCTGTGTCGAGCCCTTCAGGGACTGCCGCCTCCTGCAGTACCACTGCCACTGACTGTGGGTTTGGGTGAGGTCTGCTGACTACCTCCTCCTCAGAGGAGTCCTCTTCATCTTGTTGCTCTACTGAACCTGAGTGGTTCATGACACCGGCCTTTTATTCATTTATTCATTTGCTTCATTTTTACCTTATTTTGCTCCTCAGCAAAGTCCCAAAGTGACTTACAATGTTCTTCCCTCCTCCATTTTATTCTCACATAAAAGTGAGTTAGGCTGAGAGCATATGACTGGCCCAAGGTCACCCAACAAGGTTCGATCATAGAGTGGGGATTTGAACCTGGGTCTCCCAGATCCTGGTCTGACATTCTGACCACTGGAAAGCTTAAAGATCACGGGCACAGGGAATGAGAACTAAAAATGTACTGCTCCCTGTTTTGTTCTTCTCAGGCACGGGATAAGATGAGCAATCCCATACTTCAGCAGTGAGACTTATGGGGAAGTGGTACCAGACCGTTGAGGTTCAAGAATAGATGAACAGGAAGCTAGTCGTTTAGCCTCAGTCCTCAACAAACTCACACTGTTGCTTTGTTGATGGGGGAGGCTTTTATAATTTGTTTTATCCTCATTGGTACTCTTCCCATGGCACCTTTCTCATCAGTCAGTATTATTATCAGGGCCGGCTCACTCACTAGGCGAACTAGGTGATCGCCTAGAGTGGGACGGCCCTTAGGGGCACCAAACTGCACCCGGCCCCATACTCTGGGAGTTTCTTGATTATTTGTGTTTTTCATTCTTCCTAAAATGCATTTATTTTTGAAAATTGGTGGACGCAAGGGGGGGGGGGGCAGAAGGGATCCTCGCCTAGGGTGCAAAATAAGCTGGAGCCGGCCCTGATTATTATGCCCTCATATTCTAAAGATATGAGAGAGAAAATTGCAGGACTGTATCCAAATTCTGTATCATGAAAAACTGGATTCTGCGATCTATATAAGTTATAGAAATTTGCTTCTGTTTGCTTGTTTCACACAATATACTATTGTATATTGCATATACTACTATTCATGGGAAGGAGCAAAAAAGTATGCAGTGCAATGGAAGTAAGCAAGGCACTGCCCTATTGCATTGGCTATGCTTCCCAGTTTCATCTTCTGGTCTCAGAGATTTCATCAGACGTGGCTCTCTAAGAGCCAAATGATACATTACATTTTTAAATACTGCATGTGCAGCTCCAAAATGAGGAATATAACTCCCCTCTAGGACAGTCTTGGCTTGTGAAAATGGCAAGGGGGAAAGTCAGGAGTCCCTCTTTCCTCCACACTGTGGTCCCAAGCTGAATCAGGTCTTGTTGTCCTTTAAAAGCAGTTCCCTGCAGCTACTCTGTGGCAGTGGGGAAAGTGAGTCAAGTCAGGATTCCCTTGAACCGACGCATTAAAAAATATAACATATAGTTTGGTTCCCAATTTCATACCTATCCCAACAGTCGTAAGGGTTCAAATCTTGCTTTGCTTTTTAAATAAACAAAATATCAAAATGAAATCAGATGACTCTCTTGATGTGACATGTCCTTGAATGAAATCACAGATGCTTAATGACAAAGTGTCATTCTAGGAGCTGAATGCCTTGCACTCTCTATAACATTTCTAAACTTTGCTTTCAGGATCATTATGCTACTCCCTTAACTTCACCCTGCTACTGTTCTGCTTTGTACCGATAACTATTATTCAATGCTCCTGGGAAAAGAACCAA